CTTCCACCCGCCCGTCCGTCCGTATCTCTCTGCCCATCCATCCATCTACCCATAGATTTATCTCTCAAACATACATAAGAAAATACGAGAGGGAAAGCGTGAACGGGAGAGAGACTGGGGCATGCGTGTGTGAGTGGTAAACCAATTTGATCCAGTATATTATTTACGGTAAAACTTTTATCTAACAAAGGTTTCACAATACGTACGTAGTGTGTAGCTCGCGTATGAAGGAGAGATGCTTACGAGTATGGCAGGCGAGGTGGGACACAAATGGTAGGCCTATTTGTTGACAGTCACAAATTCGAATTAATGTCTATCAAATATTCTATTTAGTGACTATCATATATCCCATTTAGTGACAGTCATTAAATCAACCAATCAGATACAACTTATTTATTCTCAACCAATCATAGGCATGGAATTATGAACAAACACTAAACGATTTAATGATAGACACTAAATACCATTTGTGTCCCACCTCGCCTGCCATATTTAGTGACAGTCATTAAATCAGCTAATCATATACAACTTATTTTTTCTCAGCCAATCATAGGCATGGAATTATGGACAAACACTAAATAATTTAATGATAGACACTGAATACCATTTGTGTCCCACCTCGCCTGCCATATTTAGTGACAGTCATTAAATCAGCTAATCATATACAACTTATTTTTTCTCAGCCAATGATAGGCATGGAATTATGGACAAACACTAAATAATTTAATGATAGACACTGAATACCATTTGTGTCCCACCTCGCCTGCCATATACGAGAGCTGCTTGTGTTTACAATCTCTTGAACATTCCTGGAGTCGGTTACCACGTCAGCTATTACGACGTTACCACGTCTTACCCTGCGCGCAGCTATTACGTTATTACGGATTTTATCACTTCTCGAAAATGTGACACTCCTATTTTGAGTTTGTCCACTTACATCCGCAAGTAAAATGTGCTGTTAGTATGATGAGTCGCCCCCTCTCACTACTCTCACTCTCGCTGTCACTCTCACTTTCACTCCCCCGAAACTCTCTATTTGGCACGGGCGTTTTATCCAGCTATTTAATTCTTTCTCTTCATATTACTCTATACGTTCTCACTCCTTATTTCTGTCTGACGTCTGTCGGCATGTAGCAATACTACATGATGGCTAAGCCGGGCGTCTGGAGAGAGCATGTAAAGTACAGCGACAAAGTACGAGCATTAATGAGGATTTCCTGTTTCTCTACAGACTAGAGGGATGCAGATACAGGATGAGCAATCAATACACGTTGCCTAGTCGCGCGGTCAATTCAATGGCTCTCAAATTAATATCATCTTATTCGTTCTTGGGTAGACCGCCTTGCAAACTAATATCAAACTGCTCTGATTGTGTTCGTGGTCGAAGAGACGAGCCATATTTTACAGGGAGCTACTGAATGTACACAGCGTCAACTAACCGTCCATAATACGTTTATCATGCCCTTGGTAAAAGCGAACGGATGCACAGCGTCGTATTGGACTACCGTTATGTATATACTTATATAGACTCGTACTTATAGACCAACTCACTTGTGTATTTGTTTCATAACATTGTTACCATTGACTCGATGAATAATGATTGTGGTTCTGCGGCCTGTAGTATACTTATGATATTAATACTCTCAATAATAGAAGCAGCAATTGATCCACAGGTCGGATTGTGTCAACCACTCATCAACAGTGTTGTCGTTGTTGACGGCATTAATACTTACCACCGTCAGCGTCGTGTGCACAACTGTAATATCACTGCGTGACAGAGTACTAATCATAATTACATCGTCGTTTCTGCGGTCCAAGCAGTCAAATGCAATGTTTGTGTGTGTGTGTGTGTGTGTGTGTGTGTGTGTGTGTGTGTGTGTGTGTGTGTGTGTGTGTGTGTGTGGATGAGGGTGGGGGGGTGCTCAACCCTCTAGTTGAGAGCTGCTCTTCATTGTCATCATTTATGGACTTTAATAATTTTCTATAGTACTACTTTCACCCATCTCAGCGCGCAGCCAAGCCTATTGTTGTGTTTACTGACGACCATGCCCATCCGCCCATTGACTTTAATACGCATTGTCACAATTGACCATTGGCACATCGCCACCAATTGCCTTTTCCAATCGTCACCATTGACCATTACCATCGGCAAAATTGACTAGCAGAGTACAGGTTTAAGTATTGTTACCAGCAAGTAGTTGTAATTATTGATCAGTCTGAATTCATCTGTCCATCGGCCACTAAGTAACCATTGCCAATCACCCTTACTAAACCTATTGCCATCACTACTACAACGCATTGCCATCGCCAAATGATCATGCCATCGCCACTACAACCATTGCCATCAACCACCATTAACCATTGCTATCGCCCACTACTAACGATTCGCCATCACCGACTTACTAACATCTGGGCCATCGCACAATCGATCATTGCCATGGCGACTACTAACCATTGCCATCACCACTACTGAACCATTGGCCATCGCTACAATTGATCATTGCCTATCACCAACTAACTAATTCAATTGGGCTCATCGCCACCTACTAACGCATTGCATCGCCAACGAATTGGATCCACCGCATTACCACTATAACCATTGCCATCGCCACTACTATCCATTGCCATCACCACTGACTAAACAATAGCCATACGCCACAATTGATCATTGCCATCACCACAATTGTCATTGCCAATCGCCACTATTAACCATTGCCATCGCCACAATTGATCATTGCCATCACCACTACTAACCATTGCCATCGCCACTACTAACCATTGCCATCGCCACAATTGATCATTGCCATCGCCACTACTAACCATTGCCATCGCCACAATTGATCATTGCCATCACCACTACTAACCATTGCCATCGCCACAATTGATCATTGCCATCGCCACTACTAACCATTGCCATCACCACTACTAACCATTGCCATCGCCACAATTGATCATTGCCATCACCACTACTAACAATTGCTATCGCCACAATTGATCATTGCCATCACCACTACTAACCATTGCCATCACCACTACTAACCATTGTCATCGCCACTACTAACCATTGCGATCGCCACAATTGATCATTGCCATCGCCACAATTGATCATTGCCATCGCCACTACTAACCATTGCCATCGCCACTATTAACCATTGTTATCGCCACAATTGATCACCGCCATCGCCACCATTGACATCGAAGTAGAGGTTTAGGTGCACGGGAATGGACGTCGCATCGTTGCAGATATGAACGGAAAGCTGCTGGACGGCTCACAGTTTCCGGCCGTGCTGCTGCTCATGCACCAGTGGTTCGCGACGTCGGTGGTGCTAGCCGGTGAGTTCCACAAACTGTACAGCGAGGCGCTCAAGCACGCCAGCTGCGAGCCCGCCTGCCTGCACAAAGACAGCGACCCGCAGTGCGGCCGACAGCAATTCAAGATGAAGCTCTGTCACGCCGTCAGGTACGTAAACACGTGAACGCAGAGACGCGAGAAGCGGCAGAGGCGGTAAGCGCGCGAAGTTACAGCGAAATCATTGCATGTGGGTCACTGAATGGATCCCTCAAACGTGTCCCTCATAGATAGGTATCCGTTCTTTACACCACTGTACTATTTTTCGCCGTACTGTAACTGTATGGGTTTTTATGTATAACTGCCTTTCGAAGAATACGCCAATAATGTCCTTTGTAGACAGGTGGCCGTTCTATCGAGGTGTCTGGTAATGCAAGTTTGACCGTATATGGATAATAGACGATATTTTCTTCACCCTTACGTCATACTCACGAAGGTTTCCGCGCTTTAATTGCTTCACGTAGATGTTATAGTAATTACAATAACGTTCGTCTGTCGCGTACGTTTATTTGCTTCGTATCTGTAGCGCGATACCGGCCATGAACGTCAGCGCCATTATTCAGCCGGCACATTGCTTTGTGCGTCGTAGTGAAACCCCATCTCACCTAATACTATTATCCGTAGAAGAAGGCTTAATACCTATGGCCTTACTTATACTTATACTTATACTTATACTTATACTTATTAACGAATGGCCTTTGTCATAGTAAATAGACACGCATACAGTCTGCATACTCGACTTACTCATACAGATACTGGATCAGGAGATATCCTCACCACTTCGACCTTGATAGGCGGCTTGCCGAGGTTGTCAACAACCTGAGAAAACAGATTGAGTCTGAGCAGAACACTGAACTACTGCAATTGCTAGACTTATCCACGGTGTAAGTCTTCACTAAGCTGATGGCAAGAATGCGTACCTGTGGATGAGTATATTGAAGGGGGCAGGGTATAAGGGAAGTACATTTAAGGGGGTGAAAGAGGAGTCAGACTGAGGCAGACGTGGAGAGCTAAGATAATGAATCAGTCGCAGATGAATGGTGTGTGTGTATGTGTGCGTGCGTGCGTGCGTGCGTGCGTGCGTGCGTGTGTGTGTGTGGACAGAAGGCAAGAAGGTACACTTGAGAAAATGAGACTTGGCGAATTAGACAGATAGTAAACTGAGCAGAACGTGAGATCAGAATGAGGTATCGTGGTGGCAGATATCGTATCTGCTCCTATTAGTGCCTCCACATATATCGTACGTGATTCGCAGCGAGTGTCTACTTTGACATCGCAGGCCATCGTTTGACTGGATGAGAAACATGTCGGTGCGACACAACATGAGGAATCACCCCCGCAAGGTGTCACTGGTGTTCAACCACCTGGACGCTGCCGAGCTGGCCGACCACCTGTCCTACTTGGAGTATAAAGCCATCAGGCGCATATCTGTGAGTCTCTGCGTCACATAGGCAGTACACTACACAGCCCAATGAAAGTGATCAGGCATTATACTGGCCATTGAGCAGAAAGTGACGTCAGATAAATGACGTTCTAGTGGATGAGGTTCGTGTTGTATTACTCGATGGACTGTAAAAAGACAAGGCAATCCCATTGCGTTTTCTCCTTGCCGCCGAGAGACAGTAAGCTTACGCGCACATTGCGAAGACAATGAATGATTTTCAGCGCTTTAGCGATGCTTCTCTACCTAGAAGTTCTGTAGAATTTCATCGTAGCAATCATTCCTTATAGCGGCGAATGCTCAGCGTTTCACGCACGCCTCGCTGCGTAGTTTTCAGATTACCAAGATTATGCTGTTCAGGGAACCATACGGAACAATCCACGACTCGAGAGATCGATCGCGCTGTTCAACAGCTTGTCGCAGTGGCTGCAATGCATGATCCTCAGTCGCACCAACCCCGAGCAGCGCGCCCAAGTCATGGTGAAATTCATCAACGTTGCAAAGGTTTGTCGATTATCTCTGGTCGGCTCACTCCACGTAACATTCACCCGTGATTACATCTGTATATAGCTTACGGTTGCTGATTCATCCTGAGCTGGAGCGATGTTATCTCTGTACTCTATGACGGAGATAATATGTTGGCAATATTTTTACCTGCTTGTTTGCTGACGCAATACTTACGGGCATATTATTAATGGTAGACCAAGCTCGGCTATTGTAGTTATTACTATATTATTATTATTATTATTATTATTATTATTATTATTATCATCCTCATCATTATCATATCAATATTATTGTCGTAAACACAAAATTAATATTATTGATATAAAGTGAAAAATAAATCGTAAGTAGATATAGTATTTTATAGAATGAATCAACGGTAAATGTTTATGTGAAAAATAGCAATAATTATCAAGTTAGGTATAATAGTAATTACTCTTGTGAGATGCAGAAATGGTAAAGGCGTCTGTAAGACGTAGCAGCCGTGAAGGTGCTATAAGATGCTGCTGCATGCAGTACGGTAAAACATTTTATAATATATGCATCAGTAGTAACGGATCTCCGCACGATATCGAGTTCATCTGGATTTGTACTGTATGCCCGCTGTGCGACGCATGGTGCGAAATGCAACAACGACGAGTGTTGTTGGAGAATGTATAGTGATATAGTCGGTGAAAAAACACTGATGCGGGGAACGGCATTATACATGATTAATACGCGCGCACTATTTAATCACTGCCCATGTTTGAATCAAGCGAGTACCTAGGCATGCGTACGCACATGCTGCGGGCATTAATTATGTTGGCCGCAGGTATTTGCTATAATGGTCAGGTATTGATCGTATGTAATGATTTCGCCAGCGACTTCGACAACTCCAGAACTTCAATACTCTGATGGCGGTAGTAGGAGGCTTGAGTCACAGCGCCCTGGCCCGTCTCACCCGTACTCACGCGTGTGTGCCTATGGAGGCAAAAAAGGTGAAACCCTAACGCAGCTATAGTACACGGTAACGGGTTAAAAACTGCAGCGCGATATATTAGGTGTGTTTAATAGTATGCGATTGCCACCATATTCATTTGTACTCGCGAATGTGTCAGTATTATATTTGACTGGAAAGTCTCACCAGCTGTAATCTACACAGGTCACTGTTTGGCTGCGATTTCTCCACCTATTCTGAGCTGGCCATTGATCTGCGAGGCTCTGAGCGCGCATGCGCAATAAAGGCCGTGGCCAGCTGTACACTGGCATCTCTGGTCATCCGTTATTTACGCGCTGTTTCAGTTACTGGTTGACTATACGGAGCTGCTATCCTCTGCCTCAAACTTCAGTAACTACAGGCGAGCGTTAAGCGAGAGCAAGGGCTTCAAAATACCTATCCTGTAAGTAGGAAACTTACAGTAGGCAGAAGAAATACTGTTTCGCTTGCCGCGTCAGCGTCTAGCCGTTGCATCTGTGCAGACAAAATCACATGCCCCCATAGCGCTGCGGCTGTCAATCAGATCAATAATGCAGACGTTACCTAAAGCTCGCGGGCGATGCTTGCCGTACGCCTTCACACACGAATGTGTGTTTAATAGATGACGTTCAAACTAGAAAAGTTGAGCACAACGATGGCTATTATACTTATTTTATTTTATCAAAAAGAATCATTATTAAAAATGAATAACTCCCAAATCATAAAAATTGGTCCATTTATAAAGCCTCTATTTGCTATAACACTCGCCATGAAAGTCCACGTTGTTGGATTCTCGTATATTCGTTGTCTATTAATTGTAACCATACATTTAACATTATTGGTTATTAAATAGATCATAGAAACGGTTGACGGCGCTCTTATCAGACGGTTACAGCCCTTTAGACCGAAGGTCTGATAGACCGAAGGCCCGATAGACCGAAGGTTTATTCGAATACGCAGTGGTTACACACGTCCGGAATTGGTCGCCTAGCCTCCAGGCTACGCATCCGGACATCCACTGATGCCGTATTCGAACGTGAATATGCCGCACATCCACCCATGCCACTATAAATCATATGATGCCACTATAAACCATATATATGCCCCAACCCTAACCCCAACCCTAACCATAACCCTAACTCTAACCCTAATCCTTGCAATACTCGATCTATCGGACCTTCGGTCTATAGGGCTGACCCCTATCAGGTTCACAGTAAACGTTATTCTCTGTGAAATAGATTCGGATTTACT